ACGGCCTCTTTTTGCCACCCTTTAAGTCAATCCGTGTGTCAACTAAAAAAATACACCTTTGGTCTTTTTAGTTACCAGCAGAAAAGGAGTGGAGGAAAGCAGTGCATTCCTTAAATGCCTCAGATAATTGCTAGGCAGCCGAAGCTTCTGGCACACAAGAATATTACTGGAGAGCATGATCGATGACTCTTGGCTATGGATGTGTCCCATTGGAGAATATACATCCAGGGGGTGAGGGAATTATGTATTTTAGTGTCGGCTGCACCCAGCTAACGCCGACATGATCACTCCTAATAAATCATTTTTTTAAATCTGAGAGATGGGACTAGAGACTTATGATTTGAATGGGGGTGGATTTGTTGGAGCCCTGACACAGTGCAGTTGTTAAGTGAATCATGTGGTCGTTAAGCAAATCTGGCTTCCCCCCTCCCCCCCATTGACTTGGCTTGTCGAAAGCTGGCTGGGAAGGTCCCAAGTGGAAACCACATGATGGCGGACAGCGCGACTCTCATATGTGCCAGTGCCCAAATTTTGATCGTGTGACCACGGGGGATGCTTCAGCGGTCGTAAGTGTGAAAACCGGTCATTGCGTCACTTTTTTCGGTGCCGTTGTAACTTTCAACGGTCGCTAAACGAAGCATCCCCGTGGCCAAGATTTCGTTATTTGGCTAGCGGCGTGCTTGTCGGATGCTCAACCTGGTTAAACTGAGGGAAATGTTACACTTGGGTCATGAGACATATACCTCGAAGTTGGAGCTCTCGCCTCACAAACAGGAGGCTGCGAGTTCGATCCTAGGTAGAGCCAGATATTTCTCTCTCTGGGCACAATGAGAATATATCTGCTGAACAAGACTCTGCATTGGTGACAGGAAGGGCATCCGGCCAGAAAACACTCAGCTTCATTCGGTTGCCCAGACTCCACCCCGATGTCAGGGATTATGGGGTCGTTAAAAGAAAATGATAATGCGATATACCTCAAAGCATATGTTTTCACCTTCCTTGTCGCAATCTAGCCACAGAACAATGTAATCGCATCCTCTCCCTTCCACCTGAAAAAAAAAAATCAAAGAAAAGATACATTTCATTCACTGTTCAATGGCCTATCCAGTTTGGTACGTGGCAAACCCTTGAGATCCCATTTTTTGAGAATTTCTACCAATTTGGACGGCTGAATGGAATGGACCCCCTAAGTCAGTGGCCCACAATGTTTTGGGCACCAGGGACCGGTTCCGTGGGAAAGATTTTCCGCAGGACCGAGGGGACATGGTTTTGGGTGCTACTTGCATCCCCCAGGTGGGGTTTTGCTTGTTGGTGCAGACAGGTCTAATATGATCAACGTGGCTCTCCCGATCAGGTCAATAAATACTTAAATTTCCTGAGCAAATTCCAAAGAGTTCATTACCTGTAAGAATTTCACCATGTTTAGTTTTGGGTTGGCTTCTTTCTTTTCGGTTGGCGCTTTACTAAAAAGCTCAGCGGGGTCAACTTTATCCCAGTTGTTGTATTTTCCTAAAAAGGACGGATAACAGAACAATCATCATCATCATCATCATCACCTTTGTAAAGAATTAGAATAATATTTATTTCAGGGGCTGCCCCAAAGAAGAAGGAGTCAAGCTATTCTCTAAGGCACCTGAAGGCAAGACAAGAAGCAACGGATGGAAACTAACTAAGAAAACTAAGAGAAGCAAGTTAGAACTAAGGAGGAATTTGCCGGCAGTGAGAACAATTAATCAGTGGAACTCCTTGCCTCCAGAAGTTGTGAATGCTCCAAAACTGGAAGTTTTTTTAAAAGATGTTGGATAACCATTTGTCTGAAATGGTATAGGGTTTCCTGCCAAAGCAGGGGGTTGGACTAGAAGACCTCCAAGGTCCCTTCCAACTCTTCTATTCTATTCTATTCTATTCTATTCTATTCTATTTCTATTCTATTGTATTGTATTTCTATTTCTATTTCTATTCATTCATATTGTATTGTATTGTATTTCTATTTCAATTCATTCATATTGTATTCTATTCTATTCAATTTCTATTCATTCATATTGTATTCTATTCTATTCTGTTTCTATTCATTTGTATTGTATGGTATTGTATTGTATTTCTATTTCTATTCTATTTCTATTCATTCATAATGTATTCTATTCTATTCTATTCTATTCCTATTCCTATTCTATTTCAATTCATTCATATTGTATTCTATTCTATTTCTATTCATTTGTATTGTATGGTATTGTATTGTATTGTATTTCTATTTCTATTCCTATTCCTATTCTATTTCTATTCATTCGTATTGTATTGTATTGTATTCCTATTCTATTTCTATTCATTCGTATTGTACTGTATTGTATTCTATTTCTATTTGTTCATATTGTATTGTATTGTATTGTATTCTATTTCTATTCTGGCAAATTAATTGTGAAGTCATGGGCTTCTGATAAACTGCGCTCTGTAGCCTGAATACCGATAGTCCTTGCCTTGCAACCATTCATTTAATGACCGTTCAAAGTTACAACAGCATTGAAAAAAGGGACTTAGGGCCATTTCTCACACTTACAATGTAGCTGCATCCTCATGGTCGCTTTGTCAAAATTCAGGTGCTTGGCAAGTGGTTCGTACTTATGACGGTTGCAATGTCCTCTTGTCATGTGGTCAGTTTTTTGCAAACTTCAGACCAGCCAAGTCAATGGGGAAGTCCCTTAACAACCCTGTTACTAACTTAACCAAGGCAATGATTCACTTCAAAACTGGAGCAAGGAAAGTCGTCACATGGGATAAAACTCAACACATGTTTCACTTAGCAACATAAATTTGGGGCTCTATTGTGGTCGTAAGTCGAGGATCATCTACTTTTAAAGCGTTGGGGGTTGACATTCCCTTCAACGGCCCTGCGTTGCATCTTTCTTGCTTTCAGCTTACAGCAAAGTGGAAGAAAATAGCCAACAATGATTATTTTACCTATAAAATCCAGCGTCATCACATGACCACATACGGACGTCATCTTGAAGTGGACAGTTTGTCCAATGAAAGGACCAGTGAATTCATGGACAGAACACGCCCCGTTTAATCCTTTGCGAGATGACATGTTTCCTACAGCGGCGGGGAAAAAACAACAACGATATTGCACCACAAAACAGGCCAGATTTTACAAACATCCTTTCAAGTTTACAATGCCAACTCATAAAATATTTCTATGGTCTTTTTAGAGTTGCCAACAGAAAGGGAGGGGGGAAAGGAGTTTGCTTGGAAATTGAAAGTGCATTCCATAAATAGTTTTTCAGAGATTGTAACTAGGTGACTGAAGTTTCTGCCACGTAAAATTCTAACTGGAGAGCAAGATGGATGGCTCTTGGCTATGGATGTGTCCCATTGGAGAATATGAATTACGATGCACCCAGGGGGTGGGGGAAAACCAGGGTCAAGGGTGACAAGGAAGAGTTGGCTACATCCAGGCAGTGCCGGACATGTTAACTCCCAATAATTAAGAGAGATTTTTTAAGAAAAAAGCAAAATGAAAAAAAAAAAGATAAGCACATACATCAAGTCATACATCAAATTACCTTAAAATCAAAACAACGATAATGGATTCGATTTTAAGGCAAATGACTTGCTATTAACATTGTATTAATGTTTTGATTTATTGTACGTTCATCATATTTAATTTTGAATAAAAGCCAAATAATTATATTTATATATTGATAGTTTCTATGGTTGTTATTGTTTTAAAATGTTTTTAGTATTTTCACAGTAAGCTATTTTTTTAAATTGTAAGCCACCCAGAGTCATTGATTAAGATGGGTGGCTATAGAAATAGAAATATAACACTTTTATTTGGCCAAGTGTGATTAGACACACGAAGAATTTGTCTCAGGCACAAAAGCTCTCCGTTTATATGCAAAACAACAGGGTAATAATAGTGTAATCATAACAATGCCAGTAAGAGAAGGTAGTAGAAAAGAGGAGAAGGATAATACTGCCATGCTACATGGGTAAATAGACCTTATACTTACACATTACCAATATACTTAGAATTAGATATATTATGTAGATTCGTATTAAGTAAGAAGAGTATTAAAACCAAGCAATGAATATGGGCAGGGGGTTGGACTAGATGACCTACAAGGTCTCTTCCAACTTTGATTATCTGTTAAATCTGTTAATTGTATAAACTGTAATTGTTATGTAATTGTTGCACAAGATATTTGTATGGCACACTGTTTAAACAGAAGATGGATTGTATAAAATAAAATAAAAAATTTACAAAAAAAATATGCTTAGACGTTATATTTAATTTGAATGAATGAATGAGTGAGTAATGCTTGGAATATTGACATTCAAAATTGTAATTAACATTAACAGAGTATCATTTTTTTTTGTCCAAACCTCTTGAAAGGATTTTGGCGATGGACTGAGCCAGAGAGGGCTTCTCGGCTACCATAAGGACTATCTTCATCTTCAGAGAATGGTGATGAAGCCTTCACATTGAAAGAAAATAGTTCAACCTAAACAAGAAAAATAATAACAACATTATTGGATCACTTTGGAAAGGTGGGCTGAACAATTCAGCTTCTCTTCTCAGTTTATTTATTTGTATCCCATCTTTATTATTTTTACAAACACAAGGTAGTGAACATACACAACAAGTCACCCAGCTGGCTTTCATGGCTAAGGCAGCACTAGAACTCACTGTCTCCTGGCGAATGGGCCAAAGTTACCCAACTGGCTTTCCTAGCTAAGGCAGGATTTTAACTCACGGTCTCTTATTTTCTAGCCTGCTGCCTTTACCACGAGACCAAAGCGACTCTCTGTTTGCTTGCCCAGAACATCTGCCCACCTGGTGCCTAACCTATCCTTTTTGAAAACTCTCTTCCAGTATAATTTGCCAGATTTAGTGTCCAAATGTTTATTGGGTATAAACACTTTCCAAGACATAATTCTATATTGTTCAGCGAGACCTTCACTTCCAACCATTTAACCATCATTCAAAGTTATAAAACCATTCAATAAAGTAGCTTATGACTGGTTCAAAGATAATATTAATAATCATAGGTGCCTTGGGTGCAATCCCAGGCACCACTTGAACACCACCGGCATTGACAAAATCCATCAGTCAATTGCAAAAGGCAGCTTGATTTGGAACAGCTGACATCCTGTGATTTCTTTAACACCATCTGACATCCACATATGCCAATTCCAGGTCCTTGAGAAAGACTTGATAGGTGGATAAAAATGCCACTTATAAAAAAAAA